CACATTGGCACAGATCTTTCACTGTTGTTGGGAAAATCTCTATTTGAGGAATTGCAGAGTAATAATGGTAACTCCCAAAGTGCGTTGTTGCTTTCTCAGCACGGAGCCCAGCCCAGGCACAGTCAGCACTCAGTGCATAGGGCAACCTAAGCGATGCCACCACGGGGCTGCCTGGGCAATGCTGTAAACAGTGAGAAAGCTCCAGCAGCCCGAGATCTATGGGAAAGCAGACTTCAGGCTATCCATTTTCAAGAACATTTCCCACAATAGCTTTGAGAGCTTTTGTTTCCCATTGTCAGAAGACTAATTTCTGACAAGGTCCTCATTAGCAGCTCGGCAGCGACGCGACATCCCACTCATCCATCGCCGCAGCCCAGAGCTCCTTGGGGTGCTGGCAGGACGGGCTCACCACAGCCCCCCAAAGGAATCAGAGAGCTTTAGCCCAGAAAGCATGGAAAAACCCTACTGTGATTTACCCACACCCAGTTCAATAAACATTAGATCTGGTGGCATTTGTCGTTTTTTTCATCGCATGCTCGATTACGGCTTCAGTTATTGCTCAAATGACATCACTCCTGGCACAGGGATTGATTGATTTTTTAATGAATATTCATATGGCATTTCAGCCAGGAGTAGGCATTAATATTCCAAGAAAGAAGAATGAAACGTACATCCTAATTTAATGAATGATTGTAAATATGTATCTGATGGATAATGTGACGATAAACATTTGAAAAGGCATCCATAGTCACCTCTGGGCCTTCCTTGGGAACAAAGGATGCAGGCAGGGCAAGCGGGGTGAAGCCAAGGTCTGACTGGGCAACTCCATGGGGATGCTTTCAGCCCTGGGGTTCTGCACCCGTGCCTCCAATGACTGAGCCATGGAATGATTGCTATTATGTTATATATATGGACAATGCTTCCTGACCGAGGGTGGTGCTGGGGCTGCAAGAGATGGCAGCGAGCTGCTGCCTCCAGAGCTCCCCAGTGAGGAAGCAAGAGTCAAAGAATGGAGAAAGCAGGGAACTCTGAGTTCCTGTGTCCCCATGCCACAGCTCCTCTGCAGAGCCCTGTCGTGTTCGAGACGCCTCGCCATGTCATGAGTCGCAGGCAGCGGTCCCCACACATACATATATTTGTCAGACACTCTTCAGTAGTGTCCCTGCTCCGAGTGCTGATGCTCTGTGAAGGCAACAGTTGTAGTGCTCAGAGACATGCAGCAGGCTCAGCTCACAGTGGTCCCAGCCCAGCAAAGCGCTACGGCACAGACGTGGCACATGGCTGCCCAGAGCCCACAGCCATGCATTTAAATACACGTCTGGTACTGTGGGGATGGCACACACCTAAAGCATCTCCTGGAAGAGAGGCTTAAATCAGGGCATCGCCATCAAAGTCGCCGAGGTGACAGGCATGAAGGCTATTTATACCCAGCGGCTCTCTGTTGTGCAAGGCAGAGAACAGCCCCTTCTGCTGACACAGCACAAACGCCTCATCCCCACGTGAGATGGAAAAAAGCAATACCCGAAATTCGCTGCAACCTTTCCAGCACTGCAGCTACATCTGTGCTGAAATCCCCCCCGGATTGAGGAGGAGGAGCTGGGACCCCAGCGGGGCTGAACTTGTTTTTTCTCCCCTCCCCAATCAAACCAACCACTTGCTATTCCTCTCAGTAGCTGGCAGGGAGGAAAGGTACCTTTGCAGGCCAGCCCTGCAGAATGTGAGCTAAGAGAGCAGCCAAGGAAAATGGCTCAGTTCTCCCCAGCTCTCTGGATTGCAGCCCTGCAGCCAGGGCCCTTGTTTGCACATCACAATGCGTGGGACTGAGTTTGCCGATAAAAATATATACAAAGTTATGCTTGGTATGGAACAAGCAGGCAGTAGCTGCTGAAGACTTCACAACATCCTGCTGCTGGCTCGCCTCCAAAATACCAAAACAAAACAAAATTCAGTTGGCATCTCAGCAGATTGAAGCAAGTTTTCTTTTTGCAGCAACTGCTGAACAAACGTTTCGGTGCTGTGCCACCTCCCCCGCCCCTGCCTTCTCCCCCGAATCATGTGCTGGGAGGATGCAGAAGATGCTCAAGGTCGCGGGCGGCAGCGCTGAGCTCTCTGCTGCCAGCCCTCACAGGGCCCCACGGACCCACAACACTGGGATCCTAAGAGCTCAGCCCAGGGATGTGGGGCACAGGGAGCCCACCGAGGAAGTGCAGCATGCACAGATCAGCATGTGAGCCCTTGTGCTCAGCTTTCACACACAACAAGCAACCTCCTCCTCCCGCTGCTAGCCCAAACCTGCTGCTCAAAGCCAGGCTGCGAAAATCCTGCTGCAGCAGCTGGAAATGAGGGACTCAAGGATTTGACCTCATATTTCTTGTGCCACACGCTAACTCAAGTCGGTGTACATCTTCTCAAGTCGGTGTACATCTTCGGTATGAATGTGCATTGCAATTTGACCTTAGGGGCATCGCTTTCAAATGTTTTATTTATTTCCCCAAGAAGAGTTTTGTTGGAGAAGAACACAAAGTGAAATTCTGACCTTGCTGGAAGCACTGCCTCCAGCAGAACCAGTGTTTATCCAGAGCCATAATCAGGTTACAGGTTTTGGTTCAGCTCCTAGCTGATGCTCCACGCTTTTGAGGAAGGCACCACAAACCCTACAGCTCTTTTGTGCATGCCCAGCGTTCCCAAAGAAGGAAAAAAGCAGCATCTGTCCCTCCCTGCCCTCTCTGAGAAGCAGTTACGGGCCTTGAAGCGTGAAATTTGTTTGCCCTCATTGTAGCACACTGCTAACAAGTTGTTACCGATCATAAAAATTATCCTGTTTTCTCAAAACCAAGCATTCATCCCTTTCTGAAGGCGTTCACAATGTGTGAACACAGGCATCATTTAAACAATCTCTGTGGAAACTGAGCCCTGCTATTGCAGAGCGATGCACAGCCCTGCTTTGGGACAACCCCACACCAGGGGTGCAGCACTGAGCTTTGCCTGGCTGTGCTCAGCCTGGGCAGCAGCCCCCCAGCGCTGCCATGGCTGCTCTGCAGCCTTCACAGACTTCACACTCTCTTATTACAGTTCTTAATCAGTACACTGAATGCTCTCAGCGAAATGCTGCCTTCTTCTGTTTATTTGTCACAATTGATGCTCTGGTGAACAATAAATGGGGAATGTGTTGGCAAATCAGTGCCACCAGCTTGGTTTGTTAGGAAAGGCTGCAGCACAGGAGAACAGCCGGACCTTCAGTGCTAGAAGCTCAGCAAGCTCCCCAAGTCCTGAAGACACGTGAATCTCCCCTAAGCTGCACCTAGCTTAAGCCAGGAATTTCCATGGGTTTTGCTAAGGTCTCACCTCTACAATGGTGCCAGTGTGACCATGCAGGCTGCTCCCCTCGCCCCGACACGTTGCACAACGCCATGCTCTATGCCTGCCTCCAGCCAGCTTCACACAGAGGAAAAGGAAGTAACAGTGCCTGTGTTGCTCACAGCTGTAAGCAAACACATTTCCAAGAAAGTATTAGGCAGCTTTCATCTGAAGTTTACACACACACACAAAAAAAAAAGAAAAAGAAAAGAAAGAAAAAGAGAAGAAAAGAAAACCTTGGAAGAATTTTTCTTGGCGTGGAGCATTCTATGAAATTTGGATTTCAAGTGAAATGCTTCCAGGCAGGGACAGAACAGAGCTCTGTGCCTTGGGCCCTACCAACACCCTGGAATGTGACCAAGAGCTGCTCCTTCCTGCAGAGAACAGGCACGAGTGGGTCCAGGGCTGCAGCAAAGCAGTGGCAGCTTTCCTGATATGCAACACTGCAATTTATGCTGTAAACCGCTGCTCAGTTTTGGAGGCAAAAGGAGATAACACTCCTCTGGAAAAAAAAATATCTTTGCCCATCTAAATTCTCCCCATTACTGAGCAAATGGTTTTGCAACAGCAAATTTATTCCTCCGCGTCTCCGGTGCTCTTTTTTGTTTGAAACAGCCCCAAACAGATTGTGATTTTCTCTAACGGATTCACCATCTGGGAGATTTTTCATGCAGCTCCTTTCCTCAGGGGGAGCAAGTTACTCAGAGGGGGATTCCCAGCGGAGAGCAGGATGCAGAGGGATGGGTGGTTCATTTAATTAGCATGCATAATCCCGACGTCCTTACTCAGGCAGAACTCTCAGCAGGGCCAAGGGGAGGCCGATTTTGTCTTCGCAGAGGAACCAGCTGAGGACTTTGCTATTTGTCTCTCGGTGTTACACACAGCATTTTCCACGTGAGGGAACGTTGGCCCTTGCAGGCATTGGGGGCCGATTTACTGCAGCCCCACAGCTCCATCCCACAGCACTGCAGTCTCCTGCAGCGCAACGGGGGATGTGGGGAAGAGGCCCTGAGGACCCTCAGCTCAGAGCAGCGCTCAGCACAGCATGAGAACTGCCCAGCATCTTAAACCAAACACTTTTCACCGACTCATTAGTGGACAGAACTTTGCTTTGAAGTGACATTTTCTGGGCACGATGAGCGCTTTGAAGCGGGAAGACAAAATTAGCGCAGGGAGTTGGCAGGTGAAGAAATGAGAGGGGTTTTTTTGTGTTGTTTTTTTTTCTTTTCCCAGGCAGCAGAGCCGTCCAGGAGCTATGGAAACCTTGTTTGGCTAAATACAATCACGGAAAGTTAACAAGGCTTCATATTTTCCAGCAACTCTTCCCCAGAACAGCGTGCTATCTGCCTGTGCTAGAGCCTCCAGAACAGACAAACCATTCCTGGAAGTAAACGTGCCACGCTGCTCTCTGTGCCTGGTAATAGATGCTGTCTCCAACACCCCCAGGGGGAAAGAAGCAACACCAGCAACGAATGAGAGCCCTGGGAGGAATCACAGCGAGCTGTTAGCTGGGCAAAGCCTTAAGGCAAAAGCTCAGTGCCTTTTTGAGAGAGGAGGAGCCGGGCTGCCCCCACATCAGAATGCTACCAGCATCACAGGACTGAGCTGCTGCTTTTTCTTCATAAACAATCGATGCATCAACATGTTATAAAAAAGATACGTTCAATGTGGGTGGCACATTTCACACGGGATTTAGCAGCACCCCAAACACCAGCTGTTGGCAAGTTCTGAAGAGTTAACGAGGCGAAACTCCAGCACTTCAATGGCTAACAGGTCAAGCCACCTTGCCACTGCAAACCACTACCAGCCCACACAGTGCAGATGGACAGCTGGCACCTGGTGGCTCTGGGTGGGCAGGGGTGCCTGGGGGGGCTGCAAAGAGCAGGGCAGAGCTGGCACGTGTGTGGGGGACACGCTCCCCCAAATCCATGCTTGCAGGTTTTTTCCTCATTACTCTTAACCCCGTTTTTAGCAACATTTAAAGCCCAAACGTGGCAAGAAAATAAACCCAACCACACGAAAGGGAACAAACTAGCTGCTCTCATTGTCCAGGATGGAATCAGTGTGAAGGAATGCCAAAAGGAATATTTCAGAAGATTTTAAAGTTACAGCCAGACAGCAAGACAGGAAGACAACGTACTTCAGAGCCGGATCTACCTCTTCCAGCATCGACTTTTGGAAAGAGCAGAGAAATTCCCAAACATAAAGGCTCCCAGTGGGGCACAGTTTGCAGGTCCCCACTTCACAGGATGTTTCTGGCAAGTGACAGTATTGGCCACGTGTTGGGCTCTTGAAAAACAGAAAGCCCATCTCCTGCCCCTGTTTTCTTATTTGTTGTATTCCAGCAAGTTGTTCCTGCCCCCTTTATTAAAAATGCCAAATTTTTCAGTGAAAAGAAATGGGGAAAATAAAATAACAATAATAATAATAAAAAAAAACAGTTAAAAAAAATGATACTCCATAGCAATGACCCAGCATTGCCAGCAGCCACATCTCTGACTACTGCTTACCGTTATTTGCACGTGCTTAGCACTCCTCCTGCCCTGCTGCAGTTTGTGCTGGGAAGCAATTCGGGGAATCTCAGCTGCTTCAGAAAATATATTTTGGCAATGTAGTCCTGAAAGCTTAAAAAAAAAACACCCTCAAAAACACCAAATTTAAATTCTGAATCATTACCAAGATCTTACTTATTCTGCGATCTCCTGGGGATGCTGTGAGGTTTAATTAGCTCTAGTTGGAAAATGCTCTGAAGAAGTGCAGTAAAGGTGCCAAATGCTGCTCCACTCACAGAGATCTAAAATGTTCAAATTATTGCATCGTAAAACAAATCATTTGAAAATTAATTCCTCTTCCTTGCCAGCATGACTTCAAAGGGACCTCATTTCCCCCACCAGGCCAGGAGCATCCAACTGCCCGAGCACTGCTTGGTGTCCGACCGCTGCTAACAGCCAAGACTGAGAGCATTCCCAACTTCACATTGCCTCCGAGGTCTCCTCAGTTATTTAATCTTCAAGTTGTACATTTTTGTGGGCAATTGCACTCATGATTCAGGGCAATCTGACTATACGTTAGGCTGTGCTTGTAAAGGAAGAATGGGGAGTCCTCTGTCTTCTAAGCAACCTATCCCCAAGCTCTCTTGGCAAACACCTGCAGACTTGGCAAACACTGCTTTGTGGTGAGTTGATGAGGATACCTACTTCTTCCTTCGTGTGTTCTGTAGAAACTGAAGGCAGAGGGCAGATGGGCAGGCTGCACAACAAGGCACTGGGGTACAACAGAGCCTGTTGGTTGGACACTGCTGCAGGAGCAGGCAGCAGCCAGAACAGGCTGGGTGAGGAGCACTGCAGCACAAATCCCCCCTTCACCCATTCAAGTCACTCAAGGTAGAACAGGGTCCTACCACCACACCTGCAGCCTGTGCTGCTCCATCTACACAGGACAGCTGGCAGCAGGGGGCTGCTGGGTGCCTCTTAGCACACAGCAGGCTGTTTGCTGGCAGCTGCAGCTCACATTTCCTACAGAAATTCTCCAGCATAAAGTCACACAGTCCATACAACGTGAGCTGTAGCACCCCAGCTGTACTGGGCTGGGAATTACTGGGAACTGCCCCTACCTGCAGGCAGGCTGGGACCTGCAGGACATCAAGGCCCTGTGGACCACAGTATGCTCCCAGAACAGAGCTCTGGGGAGCTCCACAGTTACGAAAAAACTTCCAGAAACTGCAGTTTGTGGCACACATGATGCCAAGACTTTCTTGCAGAAACAGCCTTTGGTTCCCACAAGGCTAATCTAAAGTCCACAACCACCATTGTCCATCATTTATTCAGCTCTATGTGTCCAGTTTGCATTATATTACACCAGTACTGTAATGGTTGATAATGAGATAATTTCTGGTTTTGCTTCAGCTTCAGACAGAAGCTTTCCTATTTTGCATCTGTAAAGCTACAAATCAGAGTATGTGAGCAAAAGGCTTCAACATGCACACAAATACAGGCTGAAGCACTAAGTGTTCTCTCCTCTGTGCTCACTGATTTTGCTCTCAATCCACTCGCATCTCAAACTAAAGACAGTGGGGGAATGGCCACGTATTTCCAGTCTTGCTTATTTCATTGCAATTGACTCCAGCGATTTCAGGGGAGAAAGGGAAAAGGATCAAAATAAAACTTAGGCCAAGATCTGGTCTGCTTAACTGCCTGCAAAGGAACGATCCAAAATCTCAGATCAGGACCAGTGAAACCAAGCTTAGCGCTTAATTCTCTTCTTCAGCTGTGAGGAAAGTTGTCCAGTCACACTGCAGCAAGGATAGGAGAGAAAGCTGTCTGTAACTGCAGAACAACCACTGCCCTTCAGACTGCACCCTCAAGCTCTCCCAGGTCAGACAGCCTCATCTCATTGCTGCCCATAAGACAGAAGTGCTTCCATGAGAAAACTGGAACCAAGCAACTCAGGGAAGAGCAGGACCAAACACCAACATCTAAACCACTACAATGGGTTTCCATAATCACTGCAAAATGATAACAATTTTGCTATGACTGGGAATTTCAAGACCTTTTCATGACACTGAACATTGCTCCCATCACTCCAATGGATTTGTTCTGCTGGGGTAGGACTCAATTACTTGGCATTAATTGCCTGAAAAGGACAAAACCATTCAAAGCTATATAATCACATTAAAGTGGACAACATGATACAAGTGGGTTGAATGCAAGCCTTGCGTTAATCTCAAAAATAGTATTAAGAAAAAAAAAAGACAACAAAACCAAAAGCACAACAGTCTGTTGAATTTGGCCCCATATTCTTAGCTGGGAATATGCAAAATGCAAACTACATAGAGAAAGGACAGCACTGGTCTGGTAGAATACATATTACATGCCCGAGATACGAAGGAATGTTTTCAGAAAAAGGGTAAGGACTTTTTTCTCAGAGTGTGGGGCACGAGATTTTCTAGATTCTGTGCTCCAGAAAATGCACTGCCTTTTCCATGCCTACAGGAATACAGGAACAGCAGCGAGGCAGGCTCCTATGGACTAAAAGAAACGGATATTAACTCGCACTATGCAAAGAATGAACACCCAATCAAGTGCTGCACTTTGATCATCAAGATGGCACCTTAACCCTTACAAAAAAAATAATACAAATTCCAGAGACAAGTACATTAATTTATCAATAAGAAGTAGCACTGATAAATAAATTAATTTATATAAAAAAAAAGAAAAGGGGATATTGACAAATTCGGGGGTGGAAGAAAAGTCACCTTCTTAGCCCACATGCGCTTGTTTTTATTTACATATCCACAAATACCATGAAGCACCATCCCAGCCCCCCCACTAGCAGCATGGTCACATGAATTCCATAGATGAGCAGTTCATTCATGAGGCTGAAGTCCACTCGCCTTCGCCCCAGTAAGAGGAGGATGATGGAGAGTTTGTACTGGAAACGCAGAAAGATCCGGATGCCAAGGTACTGAAGGCAAAACAAGATAGAGAGTGCCACCCAGAGGATGGAGGTAAACAGGCTGCAGCTGAAGTACAGCAGGAAACGAATGAATCCGTACATCCATCGGGATTTGAGATAGATGTCAAAGTTGTTGTACTTGGTACGCACCAGGTGCGTGGTCCGCACCGGGCCGCAGGCTGAGTGCAGGCAGGTCGTGTGGGGGCCGTGGAACGAACGGACCCGGCGGGGGATGGGGATTACAGGCATCAGGCACCCCACCGGTCACCGAGTCCCAGTGCAGGACTTACAGGGCACATATCAAACGTCAGCCATTAACACGGAACGGCCCCGGCAGCCTGGGAACGCTAAGGGTTTGCTGAGTCGCCAGGATGGAAGAGACCTGCAGGAAGGCAGAGAAGGAAGACAACGTTGAAGCAGCCCCAGCAGGAGGGCACGCAGCAGGGCTGGCACTCCCCAGCCTGGCAGCCAGATACAAAGCCTGCAGTTTACCCAGGCCAACGTGCAGAAATAGAATCGTTTCCACCATCACCAAGTCAGATCCCCAAAAGCAATGCAACCAGTAGCATCCGAGCGGCACAGCAAGTTTCAACTTGTTACAAGTTTTACAGTGCTGCTAAAGGAAGGAGGAAAGCTTCATTCAGGGATTATGGTGGCTAATTCACAGGCCTTTCTTAATCAAACAGCAGCCCCCCAACAGTCCACCCATGCAAAAGTCATATTAATGCATGTGTTTGGATCTTTGCAGCTGTTTTGCCTTTACAAATCTATCTCCAAACGCTTTTTCAAGTGAATTTTACAGCCCAGGCACAGTGCTGATCACACATCTCTGCTCATGCCAGAACCTGGCAAAGCTTCACCAGATAAACTGAAAATAATGGAAGGTCTCACAAGAACAATGAAGCAATCATGTTTTTCACACCCCACAGGATGTACCTCCCCCTGCTTGGATGAGCCCTGTGGTCTCGCTGTCATTGCATCCAATGGCAAGGCAGCATTTCAAAGATAGCAAACAGTTTATTTCTCCTTTTGTGACCTGCAGAGATAAATATCTCAATCTCGTGGAGTGTTTAGGATTTATAATCTCAACATCCTTCGCACACTGCTGTTATCAGAGTGATGAGCAGCAGCCCATTAGCTGCTCTCTGCTTCACCCCAGGCTCACGGTGTGCCAAATTCCGGGAATTATGAAATAACAATACATGCATCAGATCATGCTGAAAACAACAGGGACTTCCCAGCCTCCTCACACGCCCAGGCATTCAGATTCTTGCTGAACGTGAGATCCCATGACTGTTAAAATTAAAATCAGAGTAACTTAGAAGTTACTTCAGCAATTTTTACTGGCCCCAGGTTCCAATTCCTTTCCCTTTGTTGCAGAAATCTGTTGGCTCTATATGAATTGCACCGATAAAGAGGAAAGTGAGCCAATGTATGAATAAAGAATTTTGGAAATTGAGGTCTGTTCTCAAATATCAAAGATATTCTTGTAGTTTCAAGTGCCTCTCTGCCGTAATTTCCTGCCTGTAAAAAGGAAACGCTAAATAGCTCAGAAGTGCGTTAGAAGGTATTTTGCAAGGCACATGAAGTGGATAGATGCTAATCTGACACTGTTTCAAAAAACAACAGGTTTTTTGTGCCTGGAGCATGCAACTGAACAGCACAAACACAACAACAGCTCTCAGCGAGACCACACCTGTGTAACAGAGAACAAACCTCACTTGCATAAGCAACAGTTTGCTCTGGGGTTAACAGCACGCCGACTCCATGTCTGGTTTCTGTCTTAAAAGAGGAGTTTTGGTTATCTCTGATAAAACCTTCAACAGGTGAATGTAGGAGACCTCAAACAGCTCAGCTGCAGCAACTCAGGCCTTCTGAACAGCAGCAACTCACTCTCATTTACCGTGCCCACCATATAAACAAACTCTGTCAGGTTGCAGTCCTCAGATAAATACCAAATACCAACACTATCGCAGCCAAAAGCAGAGGGGTGTTGCACAAACAAGAAACTTTCAGAAACGTTACATTGTAAATGATGCTGTCATCCACCCAGCAGAAGGTCGGAAGTTCGCTGCTGTTTCTGGGTGCCACTTAATTCTTGTAACAGAAGAGTGAAGTTCTCCTGTGACACCTGGCCTCCTAGGAAGAGTAAAAGAAATCGCTAAGGTGCTTCAGACTCACAACATTCTACACATGAATTGATCTAAAAGATAAAAGGAGAGATTAGTTTTCAGCGTGCTCATTTTGAGCGTTAGGAAGTTCAGAACTACAAGGCTTCTCCCCAAATATGTTTAAACCCATCAAGATTTTAAGAAGGCTCACATGCTCAGTAATTTACGCAGCACAGCTCGCTGATACATGCTGAAAAAATCACCTAATTGCACGCAGAGCCAGAAGCACAGGCATGGATGGGAGAATGAGGGCAGAATTACAGGTAACGAGCTCTGGTCTGTCACTTCCTTTGTCACGGAAGCAGCTCCGGTATGAAACAACACAGTGCACACATACTGCCAGCATACAGAAGCAGAATACATAGAAGCAGGCCCAATCTACGCGGAACCGATGCATCCGCACAGCTCGGCACCATCTCCCGGGCCTGCTGGAAGGCACAGCGCTGCGAGGCCGGGCACGCAGCTACCTCGGCCCCAGCCGCGCTGCCGTCACCCCGACAACGCGGGATGCCGAAGCGCCGCTGGCCGGTGGGCTTCAGCTTCAGCCCGCCTCCCTCCGAGGGCTCTCAGCAAGGTGAGGGCCAATGACAAATAAAGGTGAGCGCCGACCGAGGAGCGCCAGAAGGAGGAGAAACCCAAACTCCTCCTCCATCGCACCCAGCCCGCACCGCTCGGGAAGGGGCCGCGCTCCGAGCCCCGAGCCCGCCGCACCGGGGCGCGGGCCGCCGCTCGGGCCTCCCTCGTCCCCCGGCCCGCCCTCAGAGCGCGGCGAGGCCCCGGCGGACGGCAGCGGCCGCAGCGGCGGAATGAGGCCCTGCCCGCAGCCGCCTGCCCGCCGCCTCCCCCCGCCCCGGGGCGCCGCCCCGCGCTCACCGTCCTGCCCATGGTCTTTCGTCGGGCGGCGGCCGCCAAAGCCTGGCGTCCCGGGCCCGGGCTGAAGGAAGGCCCGGGCCTACGGGCGGGCGCCACACCGCGCATGTGCAGGGAGCGGCGGCGCTCCGATTCCGGCCGGTGGCGGCGGCGGCGGTGGCGGGAAGGGAGCGGCCGGGGCGGCGCGCGGTGATGGCGTCATCACACCGCGCCACGGCCGCCGGAAGCGGGAGGGCGCCGCGTCGCTCGGGCAACGCGCGTGGGGTGGTGGGGGGGTGGGGTGGCTTCGGGGCGGGGAGAGCGCGGCGGATCTGGCTGCCCGCGTCGGTACGGAGCTGCCGTTCCTGTTCTGCCGTCCGTAGGGCCGATGGCGCCTCGTGGAGCCGCTCGGAGGCGGCGGGCCCGCGTTGCTGAGCGAGGCGAAGTGACAAAAGCCGCTTCTGAAGGTGAATCCGGCCTTCAGCGCTCACCGAGCGGTGCTCCGCAGGGCGGCTCGGCCCGGAGCCTCTCGCATATCGCGGCTCACCCGGCTCTGGGCTGGGCTGAGTCCACGAGGTGCAGGAACAGCCGCGGTAGGGAAATCTGGGGATTGTGAATCGGTGATAATAAATAACCTGCAACAAGAACGGGGACGAGGTTTCTCAGAGTCACCTTTCAGGGCCCAGAGTGAGGCTTTGTGGTCACGTGTGAGATCCCAGCGTGCGACGCGCGCCACAACGAGGGCTTCTGGGCGGCCGAAAAGACACCAAAAGTTCCTTGAACTTTTGAGCCCATTTAAGAACCAACATAATGAGACAGAAATGTTCTCCCCGCTGTTTCCTCTTAGATTTAATTAGGGATTACTTTCTGTAATGGAAAGAATACAAAACTTTTTTTTATTGGCCCCTTGCCCCGCTTGCTCTCTAGGCATTACCACAGTGGAAAAACATTAAATAATCATAACTCAAGCCATCTGCCAATAACAAGACATGCTGCACGGCTCAGGCGGTTGAAGGCACCCGGCCAAATCCCTCCTTGCACGCCAACCGTCTGCAATGTGCTCCCCCTGCTCCCCCAGAGCATTTTTGTTCTGCAAACACAATGAGGGGCCCGGAGGCAGGGGATGAACATCAAGGGAGAATTACATCCTAACAAATTGCCCTTTCTGCTCTCCCACGTACTTTCTGGTGGGAGGGAGAAGGGGAGGTGCGAAGCCGATGCGTTTTCCCAATAGCATGAAATGGGAACATCTGTTTGGTGACTGAGATTAGCGTGAGAGCCACGTCTCATTTATTTTCCTCTACCGTTGCCTGTAACAGGGAGCCAAAGATGGAAATTACAGCCCAAGAAACAGCATTATGAGGGTACTTTGGTCTCACCGGCTCGGAGAAAGATGGGGATGCTGCTGAATGCAAGTACTGCAAAGAGGGGGCCCTGGTATCCTGCAGAAATCCCCCCAGGTAGACAAAGCCTTCCATGGCCTTCAGCAGCACTCAAACACCTGCACAGCACAACCCCAGCATGTGTGCACGGGGGGGGGGCGACAGCTCAGCGTCAGTGACAAGACCACCCCTTTTCATTTCTTAGGTCAGGATGACAAAAAGCAAGGCAGCAGTACTCAGTTTTCAGCCTGAAATACGTTGACCTGCTTAAATGAATACATCTTCATAAAAAATACGCAGTCCTTGGGGCAGGCATGAATTGAAGCTTTGACATTCAAAGAGGTAAAAGTCTGTGCTTCTGCCCAAAGAGAACCCGCCCCCAGCACTCCAGCAGGGCTCTGGGTTGTATTTCTTTCCCGTGCTAATTTTACTAAAGACACAACTCATATTCCTGTTGATTGAACAGTTTTGTGTTGACAGCATTGAAGATTTGTGATGAAACTTATCATCAGCACCGAGAGCGGGCCATTAGTACCAGTCACAGTGGCTAGCTGCTGCTGATATATTTTATGGCACGCTCCAAAGACAAACACACACATTTATATGTCACTTGTTGCAATATAAATGCTAACTTGTACTTCTTTCAAAACTTTTAATGAATTGTATACATTTCATGAGATTTACAGCGTGAACTGAACTGCTCAAAACATTCCTTTAAACATATTTGTCACTTTGGCAACAGAACAACAAAAATCTGGAAGGTATTGTGTTTAGAAATAAATCACAAATACATGCAACATCCTAAAGGAGTTTATTTTGGTCATTAATAGTTGATGCTCCCCCCCCTCCCAGCTCAGGATTTAAAGTTAAATTATGCAAAATCAAAAACAAACCTTATAATACTTAATCAAACATGCATAAAGCTGTCAGGACCAAATAAATTCTCTCAATTAACTTGCTTCAGATTGTGATTGCATTTACTAATTTAATCAACACTAGAATAATTTGGAGAGCGGGTAGTGATAAATTGCCGTGGTGCTGCGCATGAAGAGCCGCCAGTGCAGCGTGTGCTGAGACAGGAATGCAGGAAGTGGTTGCTGGGCTGGGGGCAAGATGTAGCAGCTGAGTTGTCACAGTCATTTTGTAACACAAATGTCCTGCTCCCATTTTTCTGGGGTGGATTTTTTTTTTTGCCAGTAAAAAGTGAAAACACGCCTCACGGATGGCTCTATTCTGAACAAATCAGTGTTCGCCCATGGAATCATTCTCCTTCCAATCTGAGATGAGTTTAGAAGTGAAGCATTTCAGTGCAGGCATTGGCTCCACCTTTTTTGCTCAGTTTGTGGATGAGACCTTTAGCTCTCTTTAGCTCTGAACGCAGCTGCAGCTTCCTGTCCTGCTCTTCAGCTCCAATGCACTCCTGGAGCTGGAGTAACAGCCCGGTCGTGCTAAGATGTCCTTCAGCTCTGTCCTTTTGCACTTAGAATGGAGCTGCTCTTACAATAAAATGCATCTGACCTCTGTCCAGGAAAAGCTTTCAGTACTATTACTTGTGAAGGGCTAAACATCTGATTTTTGCAAGCACAAGCAAGGTTTTATGGAGGAGTTCTTTTACAGGTTGATGTGAAGAAAGCTGTGAAGCATTCAAACCTGTGAAGTACCTGGACTTCCAAAAATCAAATCCAAAAATCCTTATCTGGTCCATTACCTTTCTACATCTGTTTCACAAAACACAACGTTCATATGGTGGCTGTGGGAATAAACTCATTGCGTTGCTCTTTCTCTCCCTCTTCCTCCCTTCTCTGCAAAATATACCTCACAGAGGACAGCTTATCATTTTTGTCACCTTTTATTTGAAACAGAGGTGGTGCTGTATAGAAGTATAGCTCTGATGCCATCTGGTCAGCAGCAGAAATCAAGTGGATACTAACCTGGGTGTGCTGAAAATGGATCCAGTATACAGCTCACAATTTTCCTTCAGCAACCCAGAAACAACTGCTTGCACAGCGACTCCATAGCTTTAGGAAGGTCTTAGAGCCATAATTCCAGATCCTAAAGACAATGAACGTGTTGATGTGAGATTCTGTAAGCTAGCATTCATTGCTGCTTACCACTCATATCTAAAATCACCATTCCAAACCAGCAGCACCTGTACAAACTCCTGTGGGCTTTGCTGAAGCACTCTGTAAAGCTAAAATGTAACAAATTGAGGAATTAATGCTTTCGTTTTCCTTGAAGGAGATTTAGGGTCAAGTCTCAACCTTAAATTTTAAATGTAATCGATTTACACAACAAATCTACACTGCAAAAGCTTGTGAAATAATTTTTCCTTATTACTCCATTCCAGTTCTCATCTCTTAGCTTAAATGTCAGCTTTAATCAGGTTGAAGAGATTTGCATGTGGTAAATAATAATGCAATAGATTAGACTAATCAAATCAAATTCCACGTAGCAGAAAGCAGAACTAATTCCCACTCCTGCAGTGGTTCTGTATCAGCTCCAAGGCCCTGCAGCTCTCCCTGCAAATCAGCAGGGCTGTGAGGCGCCCGCCTCAGCTCGCGGGGCTCTTTGAGCTGCAGCAGTGCTGTGAGCAGAGGGATGGAGCGCTGCCCTGCGCCTCAGGAGATGGAGCAGTGGTTGTGTGAGATGCTGGAGTCGCAGCAGGAGCCAGCTGCTCACACGTGGAGGGGGAGAAGCAGTCTGTAAAACAAATGAAAATGGAGCTAGCTGCTTTGTCTGGAGAGGATTCCTGCCAGCGCTTGTTGCTGCATCGCTCCGGGAAGCTCTGAGCTGGCTGATGTCAGAAACAGCCCAGCACGCATAAAGCTCTCATGGAGAAGTGTCCTTACTGCGTCCTGTTCACTTCTGGGAAAGAGCAGGCATGTGGGACAGGTGGAGAGAGATGGAGAGGGCAGGGACAGACTGTACTCGCCCAAGTTGTGTTTCCCCAGCTCCCCCCACACCCTCAGCCCTCCTCTGGGAATCAGTGGCGCCATCCACTGCACATCAGTTCAATACCAAGTTTAGAGACAGCGTTCATTTTCCTGAGATTCACAAAAAGCAGCTTTGCCACCATTTCTTCTGCCCAGTTACAGAGCATCACTCAGTGCCAGAAGCCACCACAGCATCGCCCTCAGCACCAAGGGGTTCGCTGTGTCAGAATTCCTCCTTTGCACTGGGGTGCGTGGAAGGCATCGATGCAATTTTTCCTTTCTTTCTTTCCTCTTTCCCTCACTGCATTCCTCAGACCAGCAGGTTAAGCCTCCAGCTCGCATCTCACCCCGCTTCCCCTCCGTCCCAGGGTTTGGCACTGCGCTGCGGTCGCGCCCCGCCAGGCGGAGCTGCTGGCCCGGCATTGCGGCAGCTCCGAGCGCCTCTCCCTCCCCCGACCCCAGGGATCGGGACCAACTTTGCGTCCTCTGAGGATTCGGTACCGTCCGTCCCAGGGAAAATGTGTGCTCAGTGCGGAGCAGCGCCTTGCTGGTGGGTGGGAGAAGCTCCTGGAGCTCTGTGCCTTGCAGGAATCTGTTGGACACGGCTTCTGTTTGGGCTGCGTGCAGTGAAGGAGAAAAGGGCTTTCCAGAATCGTTACACAGCATCAGCCTTATGAATAATAATAATAAAAAAAGATTGAGGGAAGAGTAATAAAGGATTTATCAGGCCATCTTCAAACAAACCCACCTTTAAAAGCAGTGTCATTTCAAACACAGAAACCACTGCAGTGTTCTAAGGCAGATTGCTCTGTAGGTCAGAGCATTGCCTCTCTCCTTATATTTACCCCCAGATTGGGGACATGTGGATCTCCATGACAA